ATCTTTGCCCCCTCCGCTGGACTGGGGAGCAGCCTTCTTTAGAGGTGAGAGCACCTCCTCTCCTTCTTCGTCTCCTGAGCTTCTCTTTGACTCTCGCGAGCGGTTGTCGTTTGGCATCGGTGTAGACCGCGACTGCTTGGAGCCAGACGACGTACCGCTACCAAAAGACTCCACAGCCGCCTCCGGGAAGCTCAGGAACTTCTTCTTCTTTGTCTCCAGTGCTCTTAACTTCAAATCATAGGGAAATTTCCCGGAGTCATTACGAACAACAGGTTTATCGCATTCCAGTTCCGAATGTCCCATAATGCCGCACGACAGATAGTAGAACGGGAGTTTCTCATACTGTATATCGAACCATTCAGGGTTTCCATCTTTCCTGGTCTTCAAAAGCACACCCCGTCTCAATGCTTTCGTCACCTCAACGGCAACCCGAGCACGGAGAAAGGATCCACTGGCCTTGCCATCTTTATCAACATCTATCTTCTTCACCTTGCCAATTAGACTCATGGCCCGTTCCCCACGGTGTCTGTTCAGACATCCTAAAGGGAGGTTCAGAATCCTTACCCAAATATCCATTCTATCAAATCTAATCTCAAACAGCCTGAGACGCTTGTCATAGTGCTGCAAAAGTAAGGCATGTCTGACAACCATCCACGGCGATCCGCCCAGGGCCCTCTCCATGTCTTGTTGGAAATTGAATTCTGCCACAAACAGATTGTCTTCCTTTTCACCAATCGATCTGATCTTCAAGCCATGCGGGTTTCCCCATGCTGGCTTCATTGCACGGAAGATCGTTGTGGAGTGTACTATCGCCGGCGAGAGCACCTTGCCAACTAGGATCCACTCCACAACCGAGACCTCCCCATCATCCTCATCATCGCTGAAAGCCACCACATCTCCTTCTTCCACCGTTAGGTTTAGGTTCTACAGCAGATCAGCGACGTGCTCATCCGGATTCACCGGCTTCCCTCCTCCGACCGCGTCCATGGCATAGATTGTCGAGGGGACAAGATTGTGCCGCGTGCTAATCGCGACGCGCACAATCAGCAGTAATCCCGACCTAGGGAAACCTAGCGGCGCTAGCCCCTAATGGGAATTGTTGGTCGACGGCGCCGGGACGGCTAACCGGTGATTTGCGGTGTCCGCCGCCGACTGGAGGTTGGTGGGCGGGGCAGGGACGTCGAGACCGGAGTGGTCGCTGACGTTTGCTGATCCAGATCACCGGAGTTGGGGATCTAGATCGAGGTCGGGGGTGGAATCGCCACCAGAATCGCCTGCATGCACGATCCGGAAATTTCAGACGTCATCTCCTCACTCTCAGGATAGAGAGGTTCGGCATCAACTGAACACACACACTGACATGATAATAATAAGTTAAGTCATGGTCATGGTCATCGTCAACCAAAAGCTGGTCAATTAACCCCGATCCGTTGTGTGATTTTATTTGGCTCGAGCTTGTTTGAAACGCTTGTGATCGATTTCCTTCGGGCTGCATCGTTGCTGAATCATTTTTTTGAACGAAATAAAGCTGATTAATTGTGTCACTCCCATGGTTTATGTGTCGTGCGTCCAACAAGCCATTGTGAATTTGCGCATCATTTCTATCTCTGCGGAGGTAGATTTTTAAGACTTTACCTCTAAATTTCATTCCAAAGGATATCCAATCAAGATCTGCACAAGTTTCTGGCTACCTTGTCGGTGTTTGGCGTGCCCCGGCCCGTGCCAGCGACTAGGGTGCCCTCTTGGCTGTTGGCGCTTGGTGGGACTGGCGGCAGCCTGTGGCCGAGTTGCGGTTGCACGCTTGTTGAGTGTACGAGCTGTAGGACTGGTGGATCTACTATAGCACTGTGCGTCTGCATCCATAAGACATGTCCGAAATTGCTCCGCATGTACAATTGGGAACAACAAAACTAGACAGTCGACGCTAGAGCTAGGACTTGGGCCGCCATGCTCGCTCAGTTCAACCATCTCGTGTTTCATGTCGCTTCAGACCATGCATGCCCATGGTCCGTTGGTCCGTCTTTTGTGCCATGTCAGCCCAAGTATGGTCTTCGGTGAAACTAGTTTTCTTCGGGCGTCCATTAACTCGAGAATCGGTAGTGTGCTTTAGGTTATTCATTAGAGGAGGTTACTATGCACTAGAAATGTCTAGGTTTACCAGCATTTTCCTTCCTAAAATTAACAAATGGCTACACATCCCATATATACACAAAAGACACGTTTCGTGTTTTCTTTGGTGACAATTGTTATACTAGGCGTATAGTATGGAGTAGGGTAGAAGACAAGCACCAATGGTTGATGAGCAATTTCCGTACCGTGCTGCTGTTATGTACCGATACGAACCAAATTTTATTATCCAGTACGTACGTGGCAAGCCAAAAAAGATTGGGCAAGGGCTTTATGCGAATTTATTGTGAGAGAAAAATATTGTTTCTGAAGTGTTGAAGCGAACGGGGCCTTGACGTGGCACGGGAGAAGTCTCAGCTCTGGACGTCACACGCGCGTCGTTGGCTTGGTTGGCTTCCGCGTCGCATGCCGAGGCAAGAGAAACAGCTAGCGCCCGCCCGCGCCGGGCCAAGCAGGCCGCCACAGCCAGCCACGACGCCTCACACTTTGCAGTTTGCACCGCAGGACGTCGTCGTCTAGCTCTGTCTGCTGCCAATTTCGCGCGGGCGCGGCGCACGCGCCGGCGGGCGTGCTCGCTCCCTGGCGCCGGTGACGCCGTGACTGTGAGTAGTGGTTAGGCACGCGCGCTCGCAGCGACCGGTGGTTTGTCAACGCAAGCGCCGTTGCCATCCTGATTCCAACGTGAGCGTGAGCGTGAGACAATGGCACTGGATTAATGCATGTAACGTGCATCACGCTGCTGCAGTGTGAGCGTGGGACCCGTTCAAATAAACCACGAGGGCATTACTACTGGTTGGATCGGTCCAATTGGGGTCCCTTGAGAGTGGACACAAGTACTGTCAGCTACATCAGCGTTGATTCTGAGCATGCAGCATGCAGTGGAAAAGTCGGTATATATGCAGCGACGACACGATGGCTGCTTCCCCGGTTGGTTGCCGTGGTACAACAACCATTAGATTAAAATTGATATAAGCCGAGCAAGTAATAAAATGGATAATCATTGGCCCCATAATACTCTTCCTAGCCTGACGAATGATTGATCATATTTGGTGCGCCAACGTTTACGAGAAACGCACGATGAGTGGACGGACGTGCTCGGTCAGTCGGTCTCGGTCGCGCCACGAGCGATGACTCACAAACAACGATGGCCGGGATTTTGTCTGTTCACACCTTGTCCTGTCACTCATGTAGTACAAGTGTTTTGGCTTACCTCTAATTGTCAACCCCGAATGTGTGCGTAGTCACGGAGAATGACATCACTGGAGAACATTATTACTACTACTACTACCCTTTCTCTCTGCATTCTTTTTGGAAAGACGTACAGATTTTTTTGGCACGAGCTTATATTACATACAGTACGTGCCGACCAGCGGCGAGTGGTGCTACAACACCTGACATGTCCGGATGTCCCATCCAAATGTTTCGGACAGAGACAAATCTCAGTGACGACAAACTTGTTATTGTTAAGAACGCGAGAGCCTCGTGTGAACGGATCGATTCCACTTCCACCTGGGAAGAGAGATTTTTTGCCATACCCAAAAAAAAAAATGAATTGCGAATTTAGGCCTACATAAAGCAGCTTTCGCGCGGACGGACTTGTTTCTCAGGAGGCCGAACGCATTGTGATTTCTTAAAACCGAATGACACTCACAGAAAAGGAACAAGACTATGGTATACAAACGTTGCCGTTAGTTCCTCTTCGATCACTGACAAATTACATCATCATTCGGTATAATCTTCTGAGACATCTTCCAGATGATGGAACCCAGATATATATGCATCTCTTAAGCGAACTAGCTGGTTTAGTGTGTACCCAAACTAGCTGGATTAGTGGATGCTTCCATCAGGAATAGCTTACGCCTTGTTCGCTTGGCTTATAAGCCGTACTTTTTCAGCCAACGAACAGTATTTTTCTCTTACAATAAATCAGCCAACGGTAATTTCAGTCATGGCTTATCAGCCAAGCGAACAGAGCATTTATTCCCAAATAAGGCTTTGACCTTTGAGTGCTTGACTTCACAGGCTCGCTTTGATTTGATATGTCCCCTTCAGGACTCTTCGAGCCTGATCCGAACGGATCATTTCCCAGTGAACAAGTTCGTCCCAGTCATTGCAATGACAAATTCCAATTGAAAATAGATGGTTTATGTACAGACTTCCCTTTGGATGGATGGAAAGAAGGAAAGTGATTCATACGGCACTCATCTTGCCAATGCCAGGCCAAGTGTTCTTATACTGACGAAAAAGACACTAATTATCCCTGACCCTGACAAATCGTTGCCGATGAAAAAAAAAAGCAGAGAAGCAACTTTCGATGCCTGATGACTGAATGAATGGTTGAAACGAGCAGATGATTCGAGGATTTGGGTTGATCTTCCCCCACAAATACTCTGAAAACTGGTAACAGCTTTCTTCGAGGCTTCGGTTCACACAGAGTTGTGCTGAATAATGCACAAAAACTGAAGTGTTAAACAATAAAGATGTTGCATTTACTCTTATTCTCTTTAGCCATTACAACATGGTACAGCAACAAAACTAACTATACAAAATTGATTTACATCAAATAGTCTTCTGTGTTGTTGAATTCAAAATAGTTGTGGAGCTCACAAAGGATGACAGGATATCTCTCTTCAGAGAAAATGCCGCTCTGATGTATATACAGATTAGCTGAACGAACTAGCAGATGCTGCTACCAGGATGTGATTCGATATATCCAGAATGAATAGAGAAGTGCCCAAGTTCATGATCGAACTTGTAAAAAAGAAAATTTAGGATAGGGAATGTTTGGAGATGTTAATAGTTTAAGAATGTCAACTGAGAGTGATCTGGTAGGACAAAGTCATCAGGTTGAAATAATTAGGGATTAGCCAACATCATCTAGAAGGTCCTTCAATCTTCTGCCTCAACTGTTCGTAGTTTTGTAGCTCCAGAGATAGTGATGGTGGGATATCTCCTAACACCTGCACAGTAACAAAACACCTTATTTCCTAGCACACAACCACAAAAAAATATTACCGTGGTTACTCAAAATGATTTGGAGTTTTACTGTAATAAAGTCATCGATCTCGACAATGACTTCTTCGGCACTGGCATCATTACTTCTTGAAGGATCGATTTCAAATGTTTTAACCTAAAAATACCACATGTAAGATCAACAGAGCAAAGCTAAGAAAGCAAAACATGACATAGCTAGGTAGCAGAAATACTCACTGATCTCTTCGCTGCGTGAAACCATGCATCTGCACACAATGCATAAATATCAGCACCAGTAAAGTTTGGTGGACAATGCTGAGCAACTGACAAAAGAGAGACATTCTTGTGGAGCTTATACTTGCGCGTCTGTGCTTTAAGGATCCTGTATAGAAGTTATAATGAGATAACAGTTGCCATGAATTTGAAATTAGCAAATTGAAAAGAACAATAATGACCTTTCCCTGTATGATGCATCAGTATTTACACCGACATAAAGAAGCTTGTCAAACCGACCAGGGCGAAGAAGAGTGGAATCAAGAAGGTCAGGCCTATTGGTAGCCCCAATAATGAAAAGGTCCTACAAACGATTTTGTAAAAATAAGTCCCTTCATGTCAAGCGTCCCAGAAATGGCAATCAAAAACAAGTACGGCATGGAGGAGGGAAACACCTGGCTGTTATCACTCGACCCATCGATCTCCACAAGTAACTAGTAGACATGAAAAGGGGGGAAGTGAGAAGAGACTGGCCAAGTAATTTGACAGAAGACTTGTGAGGAAAAGTTGTGACACCGCCTCAGGGATGAAATTAATGATACCTGGGAAACAACCCTGTCCATAACACCGCCAGAATCTGCTGATGATCCTCGTGCAGGAGCAAGGGAATCAAGCTCATCAAAGAAAATGACACATGGGCGTGCAGATCTAGCCTGAGATTGACAGTGGAAAACTGAAAAAAAATATATATATGCATGTTCGATGCAACCCCAGATTGCTCAGACTGTGGACCTTCGTTGGAGGATGCATTCCCAATTGCATCAAAGTGGCGAAGAAGTATTATACAAGGAGAATACCTTCACAAAGAAAGTTATTCAACAAAGTCAAAGATGTAAACAACATCACTTGGAGAGTGGCCAAATCCGTAAATGTAGTTGTTCCCATAAGAAAACGAAATGAAGAGAATGATATTTTCATAACTACAGGAATAAGTTTAAACAGTGGAGACTAAGAAGCGGAAAGACAGAAAAAGATGAGTACTTCTGAGCTTCTTTGAAGGCAGTTGCAACTGCAGCAGGTGCCCCACTTTCTGATGACGTCATTAGATCATGACAGCTACACTCAACCACATGCAGACCAAGATGGTTAGCAACATGCCTAACCACTGTGCGCTTTCCACATCCTACAAAGCGGCCATTTTTGGGACTCGAGTTCAATTGAAGGTTGAGTAGTATGGGAATACAAATTTCATGAAACTATCAGCCTGTTTCGCTTGTTGGTTTCAACCAGGCCAAACCCAGCCAGCCAACAGTGTGTTTTCTCTCACAAAAACCAGCACCACCAGTCCAAACCAAAGCACCAGCACCAACCAGCTTAACAGGCCCTATAGTTGAAGTGCACTAACCTGACGGGCCATATAAAAAAGTGGAAAACTTGATTTTTGGTAAAATATCCAAAGGGCACAATGCTGGCGCAATGATAGATGCTAAATGCTCCACTATTTCACCGTGCAAAGGTACTGAATTACCAGAAGCAGCAAAGAAGGAATAAAGGGGGATTGCGGCAGAAGCAGCTCCACCAAGCACAAGGGCTGTTTCATTGCAATTAACACGAAGTATAGGTTCATCTGATGGTTCTATGCCAGTCACCTAACAGTTGATTAAAATATCAACAAACAGGCAGCAATCCTATAAAGCATTTACAATTATAAGCAAATGCAGTTAAATTTAAGCTACAAGTTCAATTGCATGTGAAGAATTTACTTACTAAAGTATTTTTAAGTATGAAACATAGGCATACCTTAAAGTAGATCATATTACGGGGATGCAGTTTATTATCCTGCTTATTGCATGCCAGGCAGCAGCTTGAGCCACAGTTCCAACTGTTTTGTATACAAAAAACATCTCCTCTTGCTAGGAACCTATCAAACTTAAAGTACTCGTTCAAAGCTTGATCTACCATGTCTTGGTAGTCACTTCCTCCAAAGGATGAATTTATCTTTAAAGAAGCAAGCACACCACAATCAGGAATCCTCACAACAGAAACCCGTAAATGCAACACATATTTAGGCACTTGAGGGCATGGAAGAAGGTCCAAGTGAAGAGAAAGATCACTTCCAGCACTGGCAGTTGCATCAATCTCTTCAGCTTGAGAACAGACAAGGTAAGAAGCCCATTGCATGATCAGGAGAGGCAGAGACCACTTGCTCAGTATGTTCTGAGCGGGAGTAAATCAAAGGACAGGTTATCAAACAATACTGCTTTGACAATCCTCCCAACATTATTGTCAGTGTTCTTGACAAGCACCTGCAGATCAGTAGCTGCATATTATTTTTCACTAAAATGAACAGAACAGAATCCTACACAGTACCCATTTACCATCTAAGCTCAAAAAGTTGCACTTGGGTTATGTCAGAGATGAACTTGCTAAATCACTTATCAGAATACAAACAAACGACTACAGTGGTTGATTTTTTCAGCTGCAATTTTCTATAATATGTTTGCCCACTGCACCCATTCTCAGTCTGGGAACAGAAATCACCAATTCCCATCTAATTCATCACCAAAATTCACAAGAACAAACTCCTACTATAATGATTCCATGAGATCCAGTTCGCTCCACAAATCACAAAGCAGAGTTTCCTACGTGGTAGCAATTTAACATTAAAGCTCAAAAGGCTGCACAGAGATCGCATCAGTTTAAAACTAAGTAGACCACTGAACAAAAGTGCATGGCATCCTGATCAAAATACAAATGCACGCATGGAGTGGTCAATGTTTGTAGCAGCAGCTTGTAATCATCGTTATCAGTTACTAGAGCTCATTTTCACAAACGAGTAGTCTATCGCCAATCCCATCAAATTCGTGGTCAAAATTAAACAAGTACAGCCTTCTAGTTCTACAAAACGACCAAAGTTCTTCCTGAAAGCACCAAGCAGAGTTTCCGCGACGAAGTCCCTAACCGATCGAATTTCCCAGCACGACTCTCCAATTCGCAACAAATGATTGGAACTAGGGGACTCACCGGCGTGCCGGTGACGACCGCGAGCCGTCGGAGCGCGGTGGCAGGGAGGGAGACGAAGGACGAGAGTTCCCCGAACTCGGCGCCGGCGCCGGCGCCGGAGGGGAAGCGGAGGACGCCGGCCCTAAGGCGCACCGGCTCCTGCGGCGGCGGCGGCGGGCGGTCCCCCGGGAGCGAGTCGAGGAGCGCCTGCGTGGAGGCGAGCACCAGCGGTTTCCTCCGCTGCCGCATCTCCACCATGGCTGCTGCCGCCGCCACCACTGTGACGGGAGCCCTCCGTCACAAAAATAGGAACAGAGCGTCGCTATGAAACGAGTACTCCCTCCGTCTGAAGAGAAAGTGCACTTCCAGACAAGCAGATTGTGACTAAATCAGTTTTTTTTTTTTACTTTATATCTCCAGATAGACTTAATATAAAAATATATTTATTATCAATCTAATCATACTCATTCGATATTCCAAATATTGTTTATTTTATATAGATACATATGTCTGACTAGCTACATACACTGTAGAAATGCAGAATAGTACGCCAATTTCCCAGCAAGGCTGTAGTATGAGTATTTCTATATATCAAAGCTGAAGACTTTTGGCCGCTAACTGGACTATCCACGATAGCAAATTCATTTTAGGCCTTTGGATGCCAGCTTCAACGTACGTGATCCCTTCTTAATCCTGTAGAACGTAAAATATCTCCTTCACTCCCCCCGTTTCTCTCTCCTTCCCTCACGGCAAGAACGACCGCTGTTTGATTTTCTTCATTGACTGTGCACATGGCCGGCCTTGGCCAGTGAGTTCGGCGTGCCCCTCCCTCCCCCCCCCCCTGCGGGTGGCCCCGCAGCACGGCGTTGTGGGCTGGTGGCCACCGCCGCCGCCTGCCCCTCCTCATGAGAGTCCCTGCAGACGGCAGTCGTTGCAGTTCTTCTCATTGTCCGATCCGTCCGCCACATTGGTTTACTCCCTCTCTTTCTCTCTCTCTCTCTCTCTCCCTCTTCCTCTCTCCCTCCCTCTCTGCTCGCGCCACCGTCTCCCTCTCTCTCTCTCTCTCTCCATGTGGCGGTGCACCGAGTGGGCCCCTGCGCTCGCCGCTCTTCGACGCGGTGGTGCACAGGTGTGTCTGGATCCCGGCTATGGCCGGAACCAGGGCGGCGACGGCTATCCCCTCCCCCGCGCCACGCGCGCCTCCCTCTCTCTCCCTATCCTCTACTGATGTGGCGGTGCAACAGTCGGCGGTGGCCGTGGCCGCGAGCAGAGGGCCACTATCCCCTCCGCTCCCCCGCGCACCACGCACAGCGTGCAATCTCCCTCTCCCCCTCTCCCGATTTGGTTCAGTGCGGATGGGTCCCGACCATGGCGCTTGCAAGTAAAGCGAAGCATGGCACAGAAATCGCTCGTCCTCATCTTCCCCCTCTCCCTTTCTCCCCACTGGTGGTTGCAGATGGTGCCTTTTGGTCGGCTGTGGTGGGCCTCGACAGCAATGCCGTGTTTGGTACTGCCAGGCCTCTCGAGTCTTTGCCGTTTCATCTTATTTTGTGATTTTGCTTTTTGTCTCTAATTTCTCCCTACGTTGACTATGAATCGTGTTCTATTGGTTGACCTATAATGCCATGCAGCTCCAATGTTTGCCTTCTCTGTGTTCATCTCGGGAGGACAACACCAATTGCCGATTGCCACCTCACTATCATTGCTACAAAGGTTATGTAATCTCTCTCGACTTAGCTCCATATGAGTGTGCTGGGCATTTTGAATGTTGGTCGATTTGCATCGAGAGGCCACAACAGATAGTGTACTTCTCATCACTACTTCTTGCCATCTTACCCGACCACATTTCCAAAGTGGTGGCCACTTATTTCCCTTGTCAACAGAGCACAAATTGATATGTACATTTCGATTGCTACAAATGATGTTCAACTCCATAATAATATTCTCGCAGATAGGTAAACTACTTTGAAGTTTTCAGATCGCCATTTTTTTTCTTCTTGAGCTCTGTGAAGAAAAATTCCATACCCATTGCTCAAGGATATGATCGATGTTCATTCTCTTGTGAGGTATTGGGCATGACTCGTTATTTATATTATGCAATTTCTGAGAGTAACCCGGTTGTCACCATGCCTTGAAGCTTCAAGTTGAAGAACAAATGATGATTGGTATGTTTCTGAGGCCTCTAAAAATCATGTCTTCATTGGGAAAAAAATTCTGACCTTTTTCGTTGTGGCAGCAAAAATTTTACAGCCCTTTAAAACAACATGTTAGTTTGCAAAGAGAAATGTCACTAGGAATTACTATTATTTAGCTCACCCTTTCCTCTGAATTATATAGGCGTTGCAGTTGTATTTCCATGACATGTTTCTGGCATACTCATAATTGAACCAACTGAAAGTGAGACCAAGATAAACATTTGCAACTTTTCTCTCACCGATCGACATGGTCACTGTAATTTTCTTGCCGTTCTGTAGGGTGTGGGCTGGTTGAACCTTCTCTCCTTTCATGTTGATTTCTTACCTATACCTCCTTACTGGGCTTTATATGTTTTTTTAACGAATAGGAAAGTGTTGTTGGTACATATATATAACAATGATGATTCTACTCTTTAGGCCCTTTAAAACAACATGTTAGTTTGCAAAGAGAAATGTCACTAGGAATTACTATTATTTAGCTCACCCTTTCGTCTGAATTATATAGGCGTTGCAGTTGTATTTCCACGACATGTTTCTGGCATACTCATAATTGAACCAACTGAAAGTGAGATCAAGGTAAACATTTGCAACTTTTCTCTCACCGATCGACATGGTCACTGTATTTTTCTTGCCGTTCTGTAGGGTGTGGGCTGGTTGAACCTTCTCTCATTTCATGTTGATTTCTTACCTGTACCTGCTTACTAGGCTTTATATGTTTTTTAACGAATAGGAAAGTGTTGTTGGTACACATATATATATAACAATGATGATTCTACTCTTTAGGGTCAGCTTTGTCCCTAACCCCCCTCCCCTTCGATTTCTGTATAAAAGCAATACTACTTCTTCTCATGCTTACTATGATATGTCGATAACCTTTTCAAAACATAAAATGGAGATCAATGAGGTCATTGCAAGCTACCTGCTGCTCTGTACCAACGTAAGAAAAAAGAGGTAGCCTTAGGATTATTTTGGTATATGATTTGTCTTTGTACCAACGTGAAAACATACATATACTATACTTAAGTTCTGCAACCATGATGAGCAAAATAGTAGGCAAAGTACTTAATCTTCAATCTTTGATTATAGTTCTAATGTTTCCCAGTATGCATATGAACATAACCTTTGTAGTGAAAGAAAATAGGTGCAAATAAAAAAGGAATGGGAGAGGGGGTGGAGTAATCAGTATTTGAGTGCTCTAAGTATTTATATTTATTTTAGCCATACATACAACCTAAGAGTTGTCCTGCCAAACTGACATATTGCCCAATATGAAAATACCATTTATTAATGCTTATTTCTCAAAACAAATTATTCAGAGTATATTTATTAAGGGTTATTTATATGGGAGTTGTATGAGGTTTTGGGATTGCATTACCTTTTGTGTGGCTAATAGATTAGGAAGCAACAAAATGCAGTGCTCCCTAACTTATAAGAATTTATTCATGCTATGCTGATTAACACATGACATCCTTCGGTCTATTATTATTATTCTTGGCAGGTTGATATGATGATGATGTCAGGAACTGATCCACGTGCCCTATGAAGATAACGGTGTCGTCTGCTGTCAGATTGGTAACCTCCTACCTATGTATGCATTTTAAGTTGGTTTGTTTCTAAATACTGACAAGGAAGTGACAATGATCTATACATTTTCATCATTTGGGCTATATGCACATCTCTTTTTTAGTACACCACAACTAATGAGATTTATCAGTTTCAAGCAAGCTTGTTTTCCTGCAGCTGTCTGGTGACGTTGCTTTCCTAGGGTACCTCACGCAAATATTGAGCTCTGTTAGTTCCAACCAAGTTTTGTTCTTTTTGTTGTCTAGAGAATAGTCCATTTGAACTATAGGTTCAGATTGACCCTGTGGGATTTCCTGTAAAATCCGTTACATTGTTACATTCCAAACATGCCCTAGATTGCTTAAAGATTTCACAATTTTTAGTAATGATGCTACCCATGTGCTATACAGGTAAAGGGGGCATATTTAAGGAACACCACAGACTGTCAGATGGTTGTCCTCCTGGTTGAAATGATGACCATTTGAGATTACTTAACCCGCTTCATGGGTTCTGCCACAATTCTCGTGCTGCTTGTTTCGTCAACGATCAGGTAAAATTGAACTATCTAAATATTTTAGTCACCTTGCATGAAGAAAACTATATTGACGTGTTTTGTCGCCACCTTTCCTGTGAAATCTTTGTTACATTGTCACATTTCAAGCATGCCCTAGATTAAAGATTTCACAGTTCTCAGTAATGATAAACTATCCACGTGCTATACAGATTAAGGGGGGCATATTTCAGAAACTCTAGAGACTGCCAGATGGCTGTCCTCCTAGTTTAGATGATGATCATTTGAGATTCCTTAACCACTGAAATAGGATATAGTGGATAGTGAAAAACTATAGATTCTAAAACACAGCAATTGATATTTTGAGATGTTTAGAATGGTGGGAATAAGCCACAGGAATCTGAGCAAGCATAGCAAGAGAGTGAGAGCAAAGATTCTTTCCCTTGGGTTGGAGTGGAGTTTTTATTTTCTATGATTTGTTTTCCTTTGAAATGGAACTCAAATTTGCTTAAATGTATGATCATTGTTACTCTCCAAGATTTCTGAATTTCATAATAGGCTCCATTTTAGTGCGAAATTCAGATATGTGTATGATCTGAAAATGTCGTGTCTATGATTACCACGCATAGAAAATGCCATGATTTCAAAAGTATGCAGAGTAGATGTGTCCTGCACCATATAAAAAAGCTCCAATCTTTCAGTTTCTGTGCATGAAATATCTACATTAAACTCCTAATATTGTTTTCATGCAAAGATTAAACATATTTTTTACCTATGCCTTAACCAGATGATTTGCCGGCGCGCACAAGGGCGCGCGTAATGGACTAGTGAACATGGGTCACAAAGGTTCAGGAACTCAACTCTAGCTTTTTTGAAACGTATATCTTTACTTGGAAACAAAAAAGGGAAAAGGAGATCAAAACAACTGTGAACTTTCTGCGGATCAAGTAGGAAGAATCCTGATGACTCAACACTATCAGCATGGCTTA